CCAAGCCCCCCAGATCGAATAGGTGCTGCAGATCCCCACGCCATGTTTTTGCAACACCCGCTCGGGAGGGAACAGGCAGCGAGACACGAAGGCGGCGAGCACACGCTCCCGTGAACGGCGGCACACGTGGCACTGCGATGGCGATACGCACGGCGTGTGTCGCCGTTATCGCGCGGGGATTGGCCATCGACGACGGCACGGTACCGTTTGAAAAAAAAAAAAAACACGGATACTCCGCTGCAGACAATGCATACACTTTGCGTCACCCCCTACACCGACCACGGCGGCAAATGGTTTCCCCTCCATCACTCTTTCGGAAGAAAAGGGTACCATTGGAATATATGATCCACGCTTGTACCCAAATGGTTATAATATTAACCAACAGTCGTCGAGAGACAACGTCACCCTGGCTCGCATCAGAACCCGAAGTTGGTAGGAAGCACAAACCAAACAGCGGCCCACACCAAACCGCTGGCCCAAAGACCGCGTAGGACGTGTCCTCACGCGCAACAAAGAGGAATCGCTCGTGACATCGAATTCTGAACCGGTGACGCCCCAACTGCGTCACGCCGGGGTCAACTCTTTTGCACGAGTGTGGCAACACTTGTTGCTGTGTTTCGGCCCGTGGCTCAGAGAGAGGCTCGGGCGACACGTTGCTGTCTTGGCACGTCGCCGTGACGCGAAGGAACGCGCACCGGCGCCTTGCGGTCGGTACAACCACATCAACACACCACACCAGGACACCGACCACGACAAAGCCAAACAAGAAACACCATTTTGCGACCGTCCTCACGCCAGCAGGCGCCCCTTCCAAGACCAACGACCCCCCACGTAAACAACACCCAAAGCCGCCACAGCCAATACGCAATGCCGCCGACACGCTAGGCCAATACGACCGCAAACCCACCTCGCGGGTAGACTTGTCCCAGCATCTCCGCACCACCCCATAGTGTCCGTGCCCCAGCTGCGACCTCTCGATCTCATACTTCTCCCGGACGTCCCTAGAGGTCACCGAGGTCACCAGCTGGTTTCGCGCACTCCCCGACCTCGACGATGATCTGCCGGCGCCCCCGCTGCCTCTGCCCGAGGAAGTTCCGCCGCCTCCGCTGCCGCCCGCCGGCCCCCCGCCGCCGCCACCGGCCCCCCCGCCGCTCCCGCCCGCCGCGCCCCCGGCGCTGTTCTGGGCGGCGCTGCCGCTGAAGCCTCCTGTCAGGCTATCGTACATCTGTTGCGCGGCGTTACAAGTTTTGAGAAAAGCAACCCGCAAGAGTCAGCTGGCGGGATGGACACATGGGTGAACAAAGTTCGACCACAAACGAGTGCCGTTCGCATGATGGAGCAGAGATGTGCGTGACAGGTATTCCGGGGGGACTTAAGATCCGACTTTGAGGTGATGGGCAGCCTATCAAGGGGACGATGTTCGACCCAGGAAGGGAAGCGAGCATGGTGTGCTGTTCGATTCAAGGAGACTTTCAAACCAGGTTCCGAACATGCAAACGAGGTACCGAACCTGCGAACACAAGGCGCGACGGAGGAAGACATGCTTGCCGGCGTCGTTAGCGCTGTGCAGGAAGAATCAACACACGTTGAGATTATGTCAACGGGACTGGAGGGCACAGGAGACCGTGCGGAATTCTTCAAGACCACCACGGAAACAAGCCCCAAAAACCAAAGTACCAGCATGTGTGCGTAGCGCCGCAAGTCCGACAACTCCACGACATCGGCAACGAGCCGCACGGCTCTATGGTAACGTGCTCAAACGCCAACCCCGCATGTGCCCACACAACCACTGTGTTGTATGTTGGGGTTGCCTGTTGTGCTCAAGCCGACGGATAACCGTTTTTCCGTGTTTTTCATCCCGCCAAAGAGTCTGTTGGTGATATCCCCTGTGTGGAACATTGGGAGGGTCAATCTCCACAAATCAACGGCCATGTGCCTTTCCAGGTTGACATTGCTTGTGTAGGAACAGATGCCTCGTGAGTCGTGGATCGACACGCGCGCGACGGAGCTGTCCATGAGGCTGGAGGAGCAAAGCAAGGTGCTGTCGGCTGTCATGG